ATCATTGTTGTCCTCTCCGGATGAAGCGGTTGCGGGGACCTCCACCTCGGGACTGCACCCTATAGACAGTCATTGCCACCAGGACCTGCCGCACAGGGTAGCATGCAACATGGGCCTGCAGGCTGAGGAGGTGGTGGAGCTGGAGGACCAGAGGGTGCACATCCTGGCCCCAGAAGGTCCATCGAGGGTGGCTCTGCCCCTCATCAGAACTACACAGGCCAACACAAAGACCTGGTAGTAGACCCCTGCCTCCATTCCTCCACCTGCAAAGGGAGTCGAGAGGAAGTATTTTGTCCCTACTAAGGGGTACGAATATCTTGACATACTCCCGTAGCCCTGCTTGGTGGTGGTGGCTGCGGTAAATGAGCACAAGAGACACGGGCAGCAGGGTCCTACCCCCAAATCCAAGGACTCTAAGCAGCTAGACCTGTTCGGCCAAAAGGTCTACTCGACCAGGGGACTCCAACTCAGAATTGCCAACCAACTGGCAATCCTGAGCAGATACAGCTTCAATTCCTGGAACTCCACGGTAAAGCTCAAAGAGCTAATGCCGTGGAGTCCAGTGAGGAGTTCAGGACTATTTCTGAATAGGTCAAGGCAGTGGCACGGACCTCTTTACACGCTTCACTGGACGCTGCATACTCGGGGGCACGTACCTTGTTCTCTGGGATTGCCATGAGGCGAAGCTCCTGGCTCCAGGCCTCGGGGCTCCCACCCAAGGTGCAACATACCCTGCAAGATCTGCAATTTGATGGGGCGGACCTGTTTGTGGTGCAAAGTGCCTCCAGACTGCATAGCCTTAAAGATTCTAAGGCTACGCTAAAATCGCTGGGGTGCATACCCTGGCCACCCAGAGAAAACACTTTAAGCTGCAGCCTGTATAGCATCCCTATCCTCGATGTCCTAGGCAGGACTTCTCTAGGAAACATGGCAGGAACAGCAGGTGCTGGGCCAGGTGCGCGCTGCTTCAGGCTCTAAGCAGGCCTTTTGAAAGTACACCTGGGGACGATGTACCAGCTGACGGACTGGATCCTCAGCCCTGTTTCCTAAACCATCTATCCCACTTCTACCATGCTTGGTCACGAATAACATCAGATCGCTGGGTCCTTCACACGGTAGAAGTGGGAAATCCTGCCTGACCCCACCCCCTTCCCCATCCCTTTTCAGGGACCCTTCTCATGAGCATCTCCTTATGTAGGAGGTCCATATGCTCCTCGCCGCAGGGGCAGTGGAGGAGGTTCCTCGGGAGCTATGGGGCAAGGGATTCTACTCCCACTATTTCCTAATCCCCAAAGCAAAGGGGAGTCTCAGACCCATCCTCAACCTGCGAGGCCTCAGTCACTTCATGGAAAAAGCTGAAGTTTCGCATGGGCTCCCTAAACACAATTATCCCTTCTCTGGATCCGGGAGACTGGTATGCTGCCCTTGACCTCAAGGATGTGTACTTCCACATATTGATACAACCTACCCAC